ACATTGACTGCCGCTGGCCAGTCTGACGGCCAGTCAGTCGGCCGCTGACGCCAGCGGCAGTCAATGTAAGCGGGCTATAGTACTAGAGCTAGAACGTACCCTGCCGGAACGTACCCTGGTACTATTTAATATGCCGGACCGTACCTCGCCTACTCCACTAACGAGTCTAGGGAGTCGCCTACTCCCTAACCCTAAAACCTTAACCATATCAGCTAGTTACCAGGGTACGTTCCGGTATACCGGACCGTACCCAGGGTACGTTCCGGCAGTACCCAGGAAGACATAGACCCTATCAGCCTTAGTAGTACTAGATGCTTATAAGTTAGTAACAGGTGATTTGTAATTGTTTATCAACTTATGAGAAGTTACTACCCTTCTTCGAGTAGTAGACTGAATATGGAGTGAAAGCAACATCATGAACATGCAGCAGTCCATGAATGCTACTGCTGGAGTGAAAGAAACTCCGGACCATGCACCCTTCTCTACCATTTCCATTTATTCTTTTTTGCCAGTCTTCTGCCGTTTCTTGGTCAATTTAGCAGACTTTACTAAATAAAATTTTATATGTAGATCTATGTAGATGCTCAATAAAGTCTAAAGACTGGTGAGTGCTGTGTAACTTAGACCTTGGGATATGGATAAATAGCAACCTGAAACCCACTCTACAGTGTACCAGAACAGCGAACAAAGCGATGGGTGTACTGAGATCGATCAGGAAAACATTCATATGCCAAGTACGTAGATAAAAGGTGTTTTCTTATCCTGTACAAGACGTTCATCAGACCCCACCTAGAGTACTGTGTGCCAGCCTGGTCACCCTACTATAAGAAAGATATGGACCTGTTAGAAAAAGTGCAAAGGAGGGCAACCAAGCTATATATATAGTCCACTCTATACGTAACCTGGAATATGAGAGGAGACTGGAAATCCTAGGTCTATATTCACTGGAACATAGGAGAGTGAGGGGAGACTTGATCGAAACTTACAAAATTTTAACAGACAAAGAAAACATTAATAGCAACCAATTTTTCACACCGGCAACCGGAATCACCAGGGGTAATCCCTTGAAACTATTCAAAAATAGATCCAGGCTGCAATTGTGACAGCACTTCTTCAGCCAAAGAGTGGTGAATGCATGGAACGCACTGCCAACATTTGTTGTCGAGGCCAAGACGGTCAACTGCTTTAAAAAAAAAAAACTAGACTTACATTGGACAGATATGGGTATTACAATAGGCCAGGCCTAAACTCAACCCATCTAACCTTAACTTTAAGTCTTTAACCTAACCTAACTAATGGATGAAAAATTGGAATGTGAGCGTAAAACCAGCTTTTCGCATTACCCTGTTGACCAATGCATGATCGGGCAAACAAGAAACATTATGTTCAATCTTGACTGCAAATATATATATGAAAGTCATTGTAAAAGCCCAATCATCGCATTGGTGTATCGACAATAGACTTGGATCCAAAGCTAACCCTTTTTCCGTTTTAACTAATGTGAATACTTTACTTTAATTGTTTGTTTTAACCATTGAAATGACAGAATCAGTTAAGTTGCAGTCCAAGAAAGTGCATGTCCCACTGCATTCACAATTGTGTTTCATGCTGTTGTTTTGCACGTGTTATGCTAATTTTGCAGATTTTATTTGTGAAGAGCATGAATTATTTATTTAGGGAAGTAGTGGTGGTCAATCTATATGTCGGACCCTCAATGACAGTTAAACATTAGAATTATACAAGTTTGACCTTTTTGCAGTACATAATCAATTTATTAAGGCCTAAGATTATGACACTGAACCAAGGTCTTATGCTAAATATCCAAAGAATCGTGTTAAAATCATATATACGTCATTGGTGGCATCATTATGCTGTAATATTAATAAGAATATGACTATGTGAACTGTCAAACCAAAACACTATTGATTTATTGTTTATGTTTCACAGATAAATTAGTTCTGGCAGTATATATGGCCCTTATTGCTCTACAATAATATATAATGCAGAGCAACAGAGGCTCCAATTAAGGCTAGAAGCAGATTTAAATGTGCCTAATCAATTTTAAAACACAGAAAACTATGTAGCATGTGGTTGTAAGCAGACCTGTGCATTCATGCATGTACATTATATTAAAAAGAGTACTTTACTTTGCTGAATTGTTTTTTTAATGTTTTTCTGTGCATATCAGCCTTTCAAGGCTGATATGCAGCTTCAATCATTTGTTTTCATGAGAAAAATTCCATCATTTTTAGATATATATATATATATATTACTTTGATTGATTATCTATACAAAAGTTTCTGGAAAAATTTGGTTTGTAGTCAGATTGTGAAATGCATGCATAATAAGCTGCATCTTTTTAACTTTAATTGATCTTTTAGATGGAAGCATCTGCAATCTTTCATCTAGCTACTAGACAAGCCGTGAAAATGCACACATCATAAACTGCATCTTGTAGAATATAAGTGGATAGTGTGCATGGTTCAACCTCACACATGTGGGCTGCAGGCGTCGCGATACCATAGTCCGGGGCTATTAACAGAAAGACCAACAGCATCCTGTCTGCTGTGCATTCCCATATGCGTAGTTTTCTTTTTCTCCAAAAATTGGTTTCAGCACTGGGTTGCGTTTCTAATTTGGGATGGCATGACTAGACTAGCTGGTGCGTGTTTGCTGTGTCATGCTTGGTGTGAGAAGAATCGTTAAGAAATAACTGTTTTGTAATAGAGTATTTTCATATGTATTCAACTATTCATAGAATTTGTATTTATTATTTTCAAGTATTTATTAGACAATATGAAGCCATTTGTATAACCCAAAATAATACTACTACCTGCTTATATACCTTCCCAGTACTCTAATGTATCATACCTAGGAGGCTAGGAGTGAAGCAGATTCCATTTTTTGCAATCACTAACATTTTTCCTTGATAGTCAGACATAACAAATACGAAAAAAACGAGGCATGTGGAATTGCAGCTCATCGTGATGGACACTGAATGTCTTTTTGTACAGTCTTGCATGCTATATCTGCCAGCAATAGCTCGCGAGTCAATCAGCAGATTCAATCCGTGTGAAACTTCGACGTTGCAATAGACTAAATTTCTATGGAGCTGTGAAGTGCAGTTAGCCACCAGCTTTTGGTGAGCATAAACCTTTTTCTGTATTTCCCACGCAGAGTGTTGGTGTTCCCACCGGTATCCAGTTATCATAGACTACTGATACACAACATCGCACAGACGTTTACAGAACTCTGCACTTTCTCCATCGGGCAGGGGCCTGAACGACGTACAGTCGTCTGCCTGCAGGAATTGGCTCTAGCTTGGGCTACTTCGGAAGGGTATGTTTTGCTACTCCATAAATGCAGTGTTCTCATTAGGAACCGGCCACCGGCCGAATTTACCGTCTACTCTGCTGTTTCGGCCGGTTACAATTGGCTCAAGTATATTTAAAAAAACAAAAATATTTATTCGCCAAAGTGAGTGTTTTATGAGCTACTACTAATAAATCAGTTGAGTATATTTGTATGCATGTTATGTGCACATGCAAGAAGCATTGTCTGTTTTTGAGTAACGCTATTTCTGTACTTGTCTAACTCTTATAATTACTAAATCGTCATAATTTGGAAACTTTTGGTGAACTCTGAATGTACCAGGAGAAACCAAATTGGAAAAAAGGACCATACTGTAATCCAAATGTGTCTGTTTACTGCAGCTCAAAATACACCAGATTGCATCTCAGAGATCTAGGTTTTAAAAAAATTTTTTTGGGGGGGTGCCCCCAAAACCCCCCGCCCGGCGCCCGCACACCGCCACGGCATGTTGCAAAAGCATTTGGGCCTGGTACTATAAAAGATAATGAAAACCCTGTAAATGTATCATGTATCGGGTACTGAGAGTGTATATTTGTATACTATATTCACGATGGTGTGAATTTGAACAATTGCAGCCTCGTTTTGCACTAACTGTTTAACACCTTCACGTGTTAATTTGACCTAATGACCTTGTGACCTAATGATGTAATGACCTTGCTGTGCATTATTTCATCAATGGGATGCTTTCTTCTGTGTGAGTGTTGTCGTCAACTATTTCAAGAAACAACTGAAAAGTTACAACTAGCAGTGACGTTTCAATGTTGAATGGAAAATGCGAAGGAGCTGTTGTCAGAAACAAAATTAGTCTTAACATTAGTCTTAATATTACCTTTTTATTAAGAATTGTTGAGAGAATTTTATTTTGTAAAGTTGTAAAATTTGATAGGATTTTTCATTCTCGTAACTATACAATGTTTCTGTCAGTTGACGGTCTAAGAGAAAAGGTTCATGGTAAGACTAATGTTAATATTAATTTTGTTTCTGACAGAGAACCCCAAAATAATAATTTTAAAATTATGAAATGTATTGAAAGCCCAACATGCTTTTAGGAAGATTGCAGAACCAGAAATCGTGTTATATTCTTGAAAACTGTGATGGCCACTGGCCAGTATGCTGTTCCTTCTTCATTAGCTGGCCAGAGACTAATATGAGCTGTATATATTTAGATTGTAATAAAGAGCAGATGCGTGGTGTGAGCATTGCCTGCATGCTTACATAGATGTGCTTGGACCAGTCTGCTTCTAGTCCTGCTGTGTATAGTGGTTAGTGGACTGGTAGCATAACATATTCGCTGACAGACGTTCTCTCTCTCTCTCTCTCTCTCTCTCTCTCCCTGCCTCCCTCTCTCTCCTCCTCTTCATTCCTCCCCTTCCTCCTACTCCCTCTAAGAGCTCCTGTAAAATTAACCTTTTTAGGTTTTATGTTCTCTCGAACTACATCACGATGAAAAATAAATATTCAATCCTGAAGCGTGCACGCGCATTCCTCGCAGACTGATTAGCCGGTTTGTTATCTGCAGGGCAACGGAAATGATGGACAAGATCAAGGCTGGTACTAGCAGCAACCCCGCTTCGAGTAAGAAGCTTGGCAAGCTCGCGACATCGGCCGACACGATGACCGCAGCAAGGCGGATGGATTCTGCAGGTAGACCTCCACGTACTGCGTCGTCCTCGGTGAAACCTTCCACTCTGCCTTCCAGGTACGTAAGATGGGCACGGTGTCACGTGCAGCGTTATTGTAGAACAGATTTAAAAGGAAATCAGTGGCAGGCAAACACAGTTCCTTCTTACTACGGTCATGATTTTGTTTCGGCTATAGCAGCTGTATGACAAATAGAAACAGAATACATTTCATTGTAAATTGATGCATGCAATGGTAAAACTGTTAGTGACTTCTAGTAAAACTAAAGTAACTGTTAGTGTATTCTAGACTAATCTGAAATCGTGTGACTCATGCTACCTGTGATAGCATGTATGACAGATGCGGTGGGATGCTGTGCTTTAGAAGATAGCTCACGTGCACATATACAATTATTTGAATGGGTAAAAAATGTCAGTGTTAACCATTTATCGTGTAAAAAAATCATTTTTGGAGCACAAGACAGGCCGTTTTTTGCCACTTAACTCCAGTTAACATCTATTATTGCATCAGCCGTGAAGTGAACACGTATAACAAATTGACCGACTACAGCGCTGCTTGTTGTGACCATTGTATGTCGTCGGATTTTTGCTTGATTCGCGCCAACGGCGCTTTTACGGCCGTTTTCAGCCGAAAGCCGCCGAGAGAACTGAGCGACGTCTGCCGACGGAATCCGCTCCCAACGTCCTCCAGCGGCAGTTCTCGCCGCAGCTCGGCTGATTCCGCGTTGTCGGACGGAAACTCCCGGCCGGGAAAGAGTTTGCCGGAGAGGAAGCCGGCGTCGCGGGGCAAGCTTCCCGATCGGGCGAGCGGGCACATTTTGGAAGGAAAGCCGGCATCCCGGAAGGAGCGGCCCGCGAGTAGTGACTCTACTTCCAGCCCCACCGGTGAGTATGTGAGAGTCGGATCGTCTTAAGCCTGCCTCGCGTGCGAGCCGTCGGCTTAAAGTAACTATTGTGAGAGTTTTCCAGTGTTTTCACCACTTTCAGGACACCTACCGTTATTGCTTGAGTAACAGCAATTGTCTAGAGTAACAATAAAATGTCTTAGAACCTTCATATTCTCCAAAAAATGCCAGTTTTGAACAACTAGTTTTTGTAAACAATCGTTGCCTGTTATCTTGCACTAGGCGGAAGTATGGATTAGCTTGTGGTGAACACTGCTTATCTGCCGTAGACATGGTACAGGCTCTCTCAAATCATGCACTTGTTTTCAATTCATCACCGACACAAATACAAGTTTACCAATTCTGCCATTATATATAGGCATTATCGGCATACGATAAAATTTATTGCTGTTACGATGTGGTCAAATCTATTTTTCTATGCTATAACTGCATAAAATCTTAGTATGTTTAATGTTGGTGTAATCAGTGATATTTCCGCTGTGAGTTGGGACTATATTCAGCTATATTTAGTTTTTCTGAGCAAAAATCTCGGAATAGTTAGTTTAACTTATCCCTTATTATATTATATTATTAACATTATCCCGTCGCTCCGTCAGCATCTTCGGCCCCGCGGCGCATCGTCTATTGAAACGCCATGGAAATGTGCATTCGTGAGTTATGCGTTCATGTGCCAATGGAGAAAGAGGATGGATTTAACTTCTGGAATGTGATAGAAAGGATGATAGAACTAACACTAACTCATGGAAATGTGCAGAGTTATGCGTTCGTCTGCAGATGGAGAAGGAGGACGAATAACTTCTGGGTCGGTGACGCCGGCGAGTAAGACGGTGGCCACGTCGCAGCAGGAGCAGAAGAGAAGGCGGATGGAGGCGTCCATCTTAGCATCGGAGCGCCCTCTATCGGCTCCGTCAAGCAGACGCAGGACGGTCGAGGGCGGCCAGCCAGCGTGTACACGGTTAGCCAGTGCAGCACTCGGCAGTATTCGGCCGTTCTCAGCAGGTAGAGATTACAGGATGCGACTGAACTGTTGCGGTTTGCGCAAGCTTACCATGTTTATAACTCTCACATGTTAGTTGAAGTTGTGGGAACTTGTTCTTTTATAAAAAAAAAAGCAAGTGCTATCACAAGGTTTTTGTAAATTTATGTCAGATTTTATGGTTAGGGACACTCATAGTTATATCTACACCTTGATTATATAGAATCTTTCCTTGATAGGTGGCAGCCGACTGGTGGGAAAGAACCAACCAGTAGCAGGGACCACAACTTCTCAGTCTTCCAGAAAAGCCACAGGGGAAACACGTGAAGGTGAAGCAGCAAGGTACGTTCATGGTGTAAGCCCATAACCTCATTGCTATCATGCAAAGGTGCTTAGAAGAAGAAGAACAAAAAGAAAACAGGTCTACCAAGATATAAGGCAGTTTTCCACCTGTTCTGAGAGCAGATTATTGTTATTTTCTCTGCACAAATGGCATGCTTTGCAATCCTGTGTATTAATGTGCCAAGATAAAGTGTGCAAGCAACTGGACAAAGCAATGCTCGATTGCAGAATAGATCTTAGCTTAACATTGTTGTGTTTGGCATATTTGGCAGAGGAAAGATGAAGAAGCCTTCGCAGCAAATCTACGTTCCGCGAGCGCAGCGGGTCATCGAGCAGCAGCAATCTGATTCCCACAAGGAGGTGGCAAAGGGTTCGATAACAGAGAAACCAGCGTCTTCATCGTCGTCGACGTCATCAACCGGCGATAAGGACAGGTCTGACAAAATCATCACCAAGGTTGCACCATCTTCTAGGAAGTCTCTGACAAACAGGTCTTCTGGCTCTACATCAACATCTGTGGATGCAAGGTCAATACGAGACAAGCCAGCGGGACACGCGAGCTCCAGTCGAATGACGGGTACCGTGAGGAAAGTTCCCTTATCACCGAATTTGAAGCAAGTAAAGCCAGAGACAGCAATCAGTTCAAGACAGGCGAGCATACTGCCGTCGGCAAAAGGAGTAGCAAGTACAAGAAGCAAGGCTAGAACAGGCAACACTGAGAAAGCTCAGCTCAGACGACCGCCGAAACCAGCCCCTCAGTCGGTAGCAATGTTCAGCGAGGATTCAGATGCTGATCTCGACTCGGAATCCTGTGATGAGGACTTCATGTTTGTACCTGGAAACAGGTTCATAGATCAGAGCGAGGTTGAGATGGAGGTATCTAGCAATAACCAGCAATGTGACCTCATGTCTGGTGGTGACGGCTTGAGCTGTAACGTTGCTAATACACCAGAAATTGCTCATGGGTCTTCACAGGCCATAGACACACAAGAGCAAGTGCTTGAGGTCACTACAAGGTGCAGAAGCCAGGAAGATTTGGTGTATGAGGCACAGACCTGCCCTGAACTGAGCATGGCATTGGATTGTGAACCAGATACGTGGAGTCGTACTGTTCATTCTCAACCGCTCGAGACATTGTTGTCCTCTAGCGGTGCAGACAGAGACATTGGGCAACCTAACAGTGCGAGTGAGTCTTCACTCGATAACAAATCTAGTCCAGTCGCAGAAGTGGTTGCAGCTGAATCGAGCAATGAGGTTGTGGACGAAAAACAGTCGGACCTATCACAGGTTGATTCTGTTGCTGTGGCAACTGATGAGCCGGCTGCATCTGTCATCGATAGCCACGCAGGTTGCCATGTGAACGAGACAGGTGTAAGTAATCTCATCACTGTCGAAGATGTAATAAATCCGCCAGCTTCATTGAAATGTCTTCCACAGCCAGAGAGAGATCAAATGCCTGAGGAGTGTTCCTTATTGCCGTTGGAAACAACCTTGCAGCAAGATGCAGTTAGTGACTCAGTAGAAAGTGCTACTACTAAAGTGACTGCTGCAGAAGAGTTAATTACACCAGAACAATTAGAGCCTGATGAACAGCTCATCACTACCACTGAAGTCTGTGAACAACCTGAAGTTTCAGACCCGGTCGTGAATCTTTCTCCGGATTCGCCTGTTGTGAGATCGCCTCTTGGCTCTGAAGGCTTAACTTTCACTCAACAGAGAGAGCGAGAAACACCTGGAAGTACGTTCGGTGATGCCGACGATGCGATGGATATTGCTTCAGATGCGAATTCTCAGGGTGCCAGTGAACTATTAACTGAGTATACGCAGAATGTCACAGCCAGATTGGAACAATCATCACCGAATACGATCGTGTCAGTAAACGTGCTGCATACCACAGTAATGTCCACCGATGAAGTGTGCGAAAGCAGTGACAGTATTTCTCATACCACCTCTGGTGAATGCTTGCTCCAACCAGCATCAACCCCAGATTCTGCTGTGCTACTTGACCACGCATCATGTGGAGAAGACAATAAAGAGAAACAACATTCACCGGAACCAGAGAATATGAGTGAGATTTTAGGGAATTGCCAACCCGACACTGTAGAGGTAAGAATGATTATTCCGGTTTTCAATAGGCTCCTGCAAACGTGTGAGCTGTCTGGCTTCTTCTTGTATAACTCCATCTTCATTCGTAAATAAAATCTTATCTTTGTTTACTGAGGGGAGCTTCAAACCTTATGCGTCCATGTCGAAACACGTACTCTGCTTTATCCTGTATTGTGTAGGCTGAAGACAATGCACCTCCATCGGTCCAACAGGTCGATACGCAAGATGCGGGCGAGTTTGAGGAGGATTCCTGGGAAGCACATTTCGATGAAAATGGAGAATGCCTAAACCCCGAACTCATGAATGAGGTGCCATAAACATCGTCACCTTGCAGCCACTGATTTTGTTATGTACCCTGTTTATTTTGTGAAGCCTTTTTTCATGAAGTGGTTCCGTATCAAATTTTGCATGGCTACATACAGTGTTGATCTTTGGCCTCTTCTGTTTTCGTTTGGTAATCTCTTTACATTTTCCTATGCTCATCAGTAGTTGCTTACAATAATACTTACCGGCCAGCTCTTACACTAACATGGTATTTATTTTTTAATGTAGATTTGATCTTACTGTTGTGTGTTAACCTTGCTACCAGTTACACACGAAATAATTATCATTACCAAACATTGATGCTGTGCTTACTTGCAGTTAACCATTGCTGTGGGTACGGTTGCCATCGATTCACCCCAGTTTGACTACTATAACTGGAAGCCCAGAGAACCGGTGTTTGATGAGGGAGAATATGGCCACATTGTCGAAATATCTGGCTTTCCCAGCGAGTTTCGCGCAGAGGACCTCATCTCGGTTTTCTCTGCATTTCGGTAAAAGAACATATCACTTTTGAATTTCCAGATTTAAACTGAAATCGGATTTTCCTCAGTAAATGGTTTTTAGTAGCACATCACCTTTTAATCATTATGTACATGCAATGAACATTGCTCTGATACATCAATTTTATTGTTCTTACTGGCATAACAATCAATTATGTATTAAATATGATAATTAGTGTAAGAAATGAGAGAAAAGCACCTGTGGTTGGCCACACTGGAGTAGAGTGAGCAACTTACCCATGTGTGCCAATGTTCATTTTTGATTCATAAGTTCACATGCTATATGTTATGATGTAGATACTGTTGCACTGCAAGCTATTGTCAAAGCAATATTGACTTTTGTAGCTAGCAAGTCATAACTAAGGCACATTGATTTTTTTACAGAAACAAAGGTTTTGATATTAAGTGGGTTGATGACACTCATGCCTTGGGGGTTTTCTCTAGTCCTATTGCAGGTGAGCTCACAATCTAACTCTTGTGAAAATTCACATGATAAACAGTTAAACATAACCTTGCTGAGACCCTGTACTCACTCATTCATGGCTAAAACAAATGTATGTTAAATGCAAAAATATGAATACAACTTCCAACATTCCAAACTGTAATGAAAAAGCTTAAGAATATACAGTAAACTAATGTTGTCATGGCTTTGCTCTGTTATTATCCATACGTTTGTAAAGTTACACACTGGTAGGTATTTCTTATTTGTTCTTGTGCTTGAGAGATCTACATCTATATTTTTACAGCTGCAGAAGCACTTCAAATGCAGCATCCCCTGGTGCAGACAAAACCACTTTCTGAAGCCAGTAAAGAAGCTAGAGCCAAAGCCAAAAGGAGCCAGGGTAAGATATTGAGCAAGCCTATTTTGCTCCACTACAAATCTAGACCACATCTTCGGGTAAAATTGTATACTTTGAAAATATTTACCATCAAATAAATGGAAGAGTAAAACGTGCAGTATGTAGTACCAAATTGCACTCAATGCAGAGTATTGGTAAACCCGGATGTAATGTACAATCAAGAGTACACAATAGGAGATTAGATATAGATAGATAGATCTCCTATTATGTACTCTTGGTACCATGTAACTATGACAGTGACACACTTGGCGTTCTTACATTGCAGAATTCATACAACCATACAAAGCCCGACCTGAGACATCTGCATCGGTGGCACGGCGTATGGTAACTGGTGCCCTTGGTCTGCGTCCTAATATCAGCAGAGAGCAGCGTGAACATGAGAGACAAAAACTTCGAGAAGCTAAAGGTAATGCGTACGTGTTGTGCATGGCAACAGAAAATACTCTGCTAGAAGAACCTCACTAATCTGGAAAGCTTGTGACTAGACCAGTTATGGATTAGTGAAATTCCAAACCATTAAAGCTTGGGTTAAATAATGCATATTCTTCATTATTACTGATACCAATACAATGTAAGTATAACCCTAGCCCGGGCTTGATTCAAATTGTCTAGTTATTATAAACTCATCAGCAGAAATGACACATTATCCATGCTGGTAACAAAGAAACTATTCAACTGATTATTAATTAAAAATATTACTGATATTTTATACTTGTTAATATAATAATTATTTGTACAGCCTATTTTAATAGTGATGGAAATACACAGATGGTTTTTCACTTTTCAGATAAAAAGAAGCTAGATGATAAGCAAAGGAAAGATGCATGGGAAGGTTTGTGATATACAAGTGTCAGTGGTAGAAATATCTTATTTTTAAACCCAATCCGTATTGTGAATATTTGTATCACATCGGGAAAGTGTGTGAAGATGCTTATCAACCTCCAAAGCAATTCAGGTGTCGCATTACATCAGGAAATTTTTCATGTTAATAATGTAGATACTATAGATGTAAACACGCGAGTGGTAGTTGTACATTTGGTGAGAGCTAGAGCACCACACTCTGCAGCTTATCCATTGATACGTCTCGTAGCTACCCCCTCAACAATATTAATCAAGTTTAATAATTGTCATTTTAATTGCAAACAAAATCTATGTACTTGATACAACCTAAAACTTGCTCCTATACTTTCGTAGTTAAAATTTTACAAGCTCGTGAGAGAATCACTGTATGGGACAAAGTATTTTAAAAGCGTCTGTGCAATAAATTGTGTTATGGTGTATCGTATGATGCGTATTATAATACTTTCGACCTAAAAATGTTATTTTTATAGAACAGTTATGTGGAAAGAAATGTGAAAATATTCTACCAACAAGCTGTTGTTGTTTTTTCACAGAGAAATAACAACCAGTTAATACAGTTAAATTCAGTACCATACTACATGTGTTTTGCATGAGTTTATGGTCGCAAATTAAATTCTCATCATGTATGAAGATTATATATTCTACATGTTTCTACCTGTGAATGAAATCGGTATCTGAAATTGCTCTAATGAATATATCAAGAGCTAATAATGCATATTATAAGTAAATGAACCTGCATGAGTCTCCATTTTAAGCCAAGTTTTTTTGTTTTTGTAAGCTCTTCATTCTGTGTGAGTGACCTATTGCGTATTGCGTGTATATATATATATACATGTACATCAGGAGTCTGTCAATACTGATCGACTATTGATAGACTCTTGATGTACATACATAGGGTTTTTCCCAGGTTTTTGACGAATGTAAGCCACATGCCTTCGAAGCTGAAGCTAATTTGCAACGTCGCATAAATCCCGGACATGCCACAATTTCTAGTTGTTTACTTTTGACAATCCCGACATGTTTTTCCCGCTGTTTCCACAACTTGACGTAGATGTCTACAGACCGATTAATTTTACCTGTATATTGGGGCTGCTTATGAAACGTGTAATACCCGTTGTACTACCCGTTTCTGCACCCTCACCATCCGTCCATAAACGACATGCCTTCTGACATTCCTGGGGAGAACTCTGATATATATATATGTATAATGCATGCATATACGTGTATGTGCAAAGGTTTCTACGTATTCTCATTCTTGTTGTCCTGCTGCTTTTTTTAGGTTTTTGAAGTTTTTAATGGTACCCAGTATAAAAGTGGCATTACACTGTTTTTAGGACAGTCATGAAATATATAAATATAGTTTCAGAATATACAGAAACCAGCAACGTTTTGTCCTATAACCCACCTGTATTTTTGTTGCAACCAGTCTACATTGGAATTTGTAAAATTTTAGTGAATAAAGCATTTTTCATAAGCAATGAACATTTGCAGTTTATAAATTCTGATGTGTGTGTGTGTGTATGTACATTCGTATCACAATACATTTACCCTCGTAGAATTTACAATTGATTGTCGCATAAATCAGAATTCATTGCCATTCAAATGTGTTTTTGTGTAAAATTCAATCTCAGGGCTGCCAACTCTCACGCTCTCACGCTGATCTTACAATATCTCACGCACAGCAAAAAAATGCTGAGATATCTCACGCATGAATATCTCTTCATGAATAAAACGCTGAAATATCTCACGCACAGCCAAAAAAAATCTTACAATATCTGAAAACAGTCACTTTAGTATGCACCAAATTGCACAAATTGAAGTTATAAAATGCAAAAGCTCCCTATCGTGGGAGGGGGGAAACCCCTTCCCCCCCCCCCACCTCGGTCGCTTCTCGTATCTCACTCTCACCTATCACCCAATGTTGGCACCCCTGCAATCTGGTTTTGGTAATTTTCATATGAACCAGTGTGCATCTAGATGCATTTATACACGATCTGCTCAGGGCTGCATAATCTACGTACTTGTAATGCGATGAGAGAATAACAACATTAACATCATATTCCTAACTAAAATATTTATTCACACAAGTATATATATATTATGTATGATAAAAATGCTTTCAAACATGTTCTTTATAGCATGGCTACACAATGCTGTAAAAGTTATTTACAATAGTTAGATATCGACATACATTAAAAAAAGGAATAGAAATAATCGGATGTCAATGGCAATTACAGCAGTGCTTTAATTTTTGCTCTGTTATATTTCATTAAGCAATTACTGCCTGAACTACCACAGGCCCACTGTCAGGCTCATAACTAGTTATGAGATCCTAAATCCAGAATGAGTCTGACAACAGGCCTCAGAAGCATTACTTCACAATGAGATGGCACTAGCAACAGATTTTGATTTTGTCTAAACTGGTTATGTCTGAATCATTCTTGATGCCTTTTATAGCAATGCATCCACAAAATAACTAGTTTCCCTTTTCTTAAAACAAATATATTTTTTTCAAATGATGTTAATAATTAAAATAAAGTTCTTTACCACTGCTATACTAACATAGAATTCCTTACAAGGGTCGTCTTGATACTACATGTGTACAATCATTTACCAGAGCTCCTCTTCTGATGGCAGACTCGATAGCTCATCTAATTCTCTCATAAACTGTGAGACATCAGTTGTTTCTATTGCCTCAACAGTGCCATCAATACCTGCAATAAAATATTCAAATGTAAACACAACATACAGTCAATAATCAGATAAATAACTCCAACGATAAAAGGAAAGTAGTCACCAACTGATGTTCCATGCAAAATGTTTAATGTAGAACATAAATAAATCGATCTGCAATATTAAAATTCCAAAATTATTATCACACTTGCCAGAAATTGGGGTTTGGTTGTAAGGTCGTAGAATTAGCTCCAACGTGGGCCGTGACCACTCCTCGTCACTACCTTCTATGTCATTATTGCTAGCTAGTGGAGGGTAACTCGGTCTCCAGCTGCAGAATTCTGATACGTATGTGCTTATGCGCTGTGCCCTTGGCCAGACGCTCTCGAAATCATCTGAATAACAAATTTTAATATCAGTCAACATACACTGATAAATTAGTTCATGAACATCATTCTAAAAACAAGTAATAAATTAAGCAGCATGTGGCAGTAAAGCACAAATAATTTTAAAATGTTTACTCAATGCCGGCCAGATTATATACCATTCGCGCAAAACAACAATTATTGTTGTGTGTGCATACAATTCCTTAGTGATGAAATTTAAAGAAACCCTATGAAACACCAAATGTTAAGCTTTAGAAAAGTAGAAGTTAATCATCTTAAAAATAAGAATACTTGGTAGTTTACCTGGTTCATCCTTAGTGACATGCATGATTTCTATTTCCGGATAGCTGTCGCCAGGCACTTTAACTGGTGAAGATACTCTGGCACAAGAGACAGACTTCAATGTTTGTTTGAGTGCCTGTATAGAAACAGTTAAAACAGCAAAGTTGTAGTGTTTTTACTATACACCAAACACAAATATATTTTGGGCCATGTATATGATTCCCAATCTCAGGGTGCGAAATTAACGGTACCGGTAGTCCGGACTCCGGAGTCAAATACTCCCTGATTTACTGTCGGACTCCCTGATTTGACATATGCAGGAGTCCGTGTGACTCCCTGAAGATTCTGCTATACTAACTAGTTTGTTCCAGAGCACGGCCTCGCGGAATTACCGTATTTTTTCACCAAATCTTTAATTTTGAACTTCATACTACAGACTCCCTCATTTTGCTGTGGACTCCCTCTTTTTGAGGGCAGGGAGTCTGTTGGACTCTCTTGTTCAAAAGTTAATTTCTACCCTTGCAATCTGATATCAACAGTAAACAAGATGAACCACTTATATACTAATGAAAATGCTTAGCCACCAAAAACAAATCTTGCACCCAGCATAAATTCGAGGCCATTACACAAAATTTTGGGCAAAACGAAAAACTTGCCAAAATTAAATGCCACAAACAGATAGTGGGCGAACATAAATTCTGGCCCACCACAAACAAAATGTGACCCAAATAGAAATGCTAATGACCAATCACTTGTAAGAGGACTAAGTATTTCCAAAACTGGTGTAGAATATTGATTCTGTACTTGGTGCATGGTGCAAATCCACTTCAGGCACCTTAGGTATCACGAAGTGATGCACAGATTTCTGTGTATCATCAACTGATGCACAGATTTCTGTGTATCATCAACTGATGCACAGCCTTTCAGTATATCAAGGAATGATGCAAAAACCCTAACCCTAACACACTTTGTGATACCTAAGGTTATACTTTATGACTTAGAGGTTTAAGGTTTTTTGCATCATTCCTTGATATATGGAAAGTCTGTGCATCAGGCCTTTATGATACACAGAAATCTGTGCATCACTTCGTGATACCTAAGGTGCCTAAAGTGGATTTGCGCCCTTCCTATCTTCATATCATCATCTCATTATACCGGTATCTGTTGTTTGTCCACATTTGAAGAGGATTTCACACATTGCCGGAGCGGGGTTTCTGATATACTCTTGCTGTTCTGCTTGTTTATTGCTTGAAACTTTATGTTGCTCACATTCCCTAACGCATGTCGTGGGACTGCTGATGTTTGCCTGCTAGGTGTTGGTTGAAAGGTCTTACCTGGAACAAAATTAATTCACGCTGTGATAAAAAAAAGTGCTGGTGTTGGCATAGGTCTAGGCATTCGTACAGGACAGAGTACGAATTGGAAATGTCATTTACAGCCATAGGATTAAAACCAAAAAGAGCCTGGAAAAAACAAGTCAAAGATGCCATCTTAAAAAGAGTAATTAAAAGAGACAAATTGAAAACTAGAGATAAAACAAAAATGAACATGATAAACATTGAAACATACGGTTTGAAGGATTATATGAAAGAATTATCATTTACTAATTCGTTTTTTTGCATTTAAGTGTAAAACTTGCATGATTGATCTCAAAGGCTACTTTAAAAATTAATCTAGTGACAATATGTGTAATAGATGTACTAAGAATATAAAAGAAGACATGGAACACTTATATAAATGTAATAGCTATAATATATGTAAGGAGGGACAACGAATAGAAAACTGGACAGGAGACAACCACAGGTTATTGAAACCAGAGTTAGATTATGTATGGAAAATACTGGTGACTAGAAACACTAACATAGCCTAGAGAACTAGAACTCTCTTTTTCTTTAGATCAGTGGTTCCCAACCTTTTGGACTCCCCCTCCCCTAATTTTGTTACGCTATCTCCTGGTACCCCTTCGCCCACCATAACAGGGGCGTGTACAGGATTTGTACCAGGGGGGGGGGTCTAACCGTAATCTATGTTGCGAGCACGCGAAGGGGGGTCTGGGGGAGAACAATTTTGAAATTAGACCCCCTTAGATACGTTTTCTGCGCAAGCAGGGGGGGGTCCGGACCCCCTGGACCCCCCCCCTGAACACGCCCCTGCATAAGAAAAATGAAGAACCAACACTGATGTATTGTCATAAATATTTTGACATCATGTTTATGTTTTATTAATGCAGTCGCACAGCGAATTTTTCCAATCAAGCGCACTGTGCACTAAACGACAGTTCAATGAGAAGACTGCTGCTGCATGGCAGAAACTAACTTTTTGAGCCGCGGTTCAGTTTTTGACAGACTGACTCTCATGTCTCTGCGGATGTCAAGGCGGTTACGGGCTTTTGTCTTGATTGTAACCATCGCTGAAAAGCCTGCTTCACACAGGTAGCTGGTTACAAACGTAACTAGAATTTAGAAAGGAAATAGCTTCACGAGCCATAGCCAGGTAGGCCTCGCGTATTTGCTGACTGCACCAAAATTAAGTTACTGACGTGGTTTTGTAGGAGGCGCTTCAGTGGATGTTTAGGAATAATGTCGCTACTGCCCTGACGCACAGAGGAGTAACCCTACCGCGCTCGTGCTGCGGGGACGTATGTCTACTGCTGCGCTGGCACACGTAGGGTTCCTTTCCCTCCTCCCTCCGGCCCATGCTGCGTGGACCCTGCTGCTGCTGCACTGGCACATTTAGGGTCCCTCCCCCTCCTCCCTGCGGCCCGTGCTGCTGCGTGGGCCTCGCTGCTGCTGCTGCGCTGGCACGCGGAGGGTACCACTCTGTCGCTTGCTTGCCTCGACCGAAAACCATGATTTGTTGGCACTGTCGATAGAGATGCCTGAATCACCCGCTGATTATTATATAGCACTACTTTTGTTTAAATTGTCTAAGAGGCTTCCCAGGTACCCCCTGTGGTGTTCGCTGGTACCCCCAGGGGGTACTAGTAGAAGTAGTAGTACCCCCGGTTAGGAACCAGGGCTCTAGATAATCCCCACACCTCGTAGAATCGAGTTCCTTGTGAAATACAAGAGAGGGTACTAAGATACAAGATACTAGGCCCCTAGTTACCTAGTAGTACTAGCCTAGGAATCAGTTTGAACGACGTTTCTCTACAAAATACAATTACTGAATTAGGCCCCTACTATCTTTCGCCTATTATTAATTTACTAATCATTTCCTGTAAATGCCACTCAAATGCTTCTCTGCAACACGATTTCACCACGCGCACGCCGCTGTGCACAAACAACAAAAAGATACAGAGTAAATGTAGGCCTAGTGAGTAGGCCTAGTGACAGTAGTTTAGGGCCTACACAAAACTGTTACTGTGATAATTTGTTAGCCACAAGTTCCCATCTCGCTTAACACTACGTGGCGAGAGGTCCGCCGTGTAACTAGTCGGAGAGCCTGGTCGGTTTAATAATTTGTGAACGTCAAACTGACAAACAGTCAGCAGGCCTAACTCATTGACCCCTAGTACCTTTCACAGTCCCACTGTTTCTGTCAGAGAAACTTGACAATTGAGAGCCTTCCACGTCACGGTATATTTCCATAGTTGTTGTGGAACCGACAATTCACGATAAAATACGGCAAAGATAGAAAATGAGCCAACTAGAACTTTTTTCGAGTCAAACTGACGCGGTATCGGGTCACGTGATTTAAGTGCTCACGAAACATCGCGAAACCTAAGAGGTATACGCTAGACATACTTAATCCATAAATGCTAATAATTTATCGGCAAAAAATAATATTATACAAATGCCAGCTAAAAGTTATCTACTTTTTATGTTATAAAGGTGTATAAATTAATGTTATTTTAAATTTTGCAAAGTATTTATACGATTTCAGTACTAACTTAATTTTATATGATTACAATTTTATCAATTGCTTCCTCCACGCACGACTGACTATTGCGTGCATTTCGGAAGCAGATTTCATATTTTTGTTGAAGTTTAAAGGACCTTTATTTATATCTAATAGAAGAAATTCAATAAAAATGGTAAGAAATATGAGAAGTGACGCTGCGAGTGCATTGGTCTCAGACCCTGTTGACAGTAGTACATTGATCTTCGAGTGTTTGTGGGTAGAAATCTGTTTCATTCACGATTCGGCCAATGCCATGGATGATGGACCGGTCATGGCCTGTCACTCGCAGCTAGGGCCTGCATACCTCCCAAAGTGACGCGTCGTCGACCGACCAATGGGAGCGCTCGCAGCTCAGGCACTAAAGCTGATAAATATAAAGCTAAACCCTAACCCTTACCAGTAACCAGAGAGACATGATACAAGATTGCGTGGCACAGCTTTGCTGTTGATCCTGCGCGCTGCGTGCGGATAAGACGCACAGTTCCGCGGGATATGCGCACGCGACCGCGGGGATGTTCAAGTATGAAGCGCTGTCCGCAGTGGAGACGTGCGCAAAATTTGAGGCCCGGCGCACGTCTCCACAGCGGTCAGCGGATGGTCTGTAGTTTTAGAAGATGACAATGATTATATGGACAATATTCTAGAAATTGGAGATTATAAAACAGTAAAAAAATCGCTCAGTCATGCTCCAGATTAGCCACAAGTTCCATTCTCGCTTAACACTACATTGGCTACTGTTCCTACGACGTGTAACAGTTGGAGAGCCTGGTCTGTTTATCCCCAGATTAGCTGAATCAAAAATATTAGAATTTAATATATGAACAAAACAAATATAGTAGTAAATATAAAATTCACAAACAAAGAAAGGATCGAGGGGATTAATAGGCAACCAAGTAATAAAAAAATGCACCAAATATTCATACCTAGGGGATTTAATTAATGATATAGGAGGTTATAACGCTATTATAGCTAGTTCGAACTGAAAAAATGTAGGTTAAGGGAAATAATTAATTATTATGGGCAAAAGAGCAAAATTGTGGAAATCATACTATAGAAGCAAGAGTGAAATTATGCGAATACACAATTTTACCTTTCTTCCTAAATAACAGTGAAACATGGACTAACTTAACTAAGGAAGAAGTAAACATATGTTGCAGGATATCCAAAATGATCTAAGAGATGGCGCTGTGGCATGTAAACATTGGCTCGGAAGCGAGTTTTTTTGCCGAAATGTTTACTCAATGACGCACTCGTTGACTTGCGACAGCGAGTGAAAATGCAGAAATTTTTTCTCTTCGATGCGAAATGCATCGGCCGGGCATTTCATTATTTACGAAAAGTCAACGGGCTGGCAGTAGGTACAGGAGTCAGCTCACGTCGTTGACGCCCCATTCATGCCCATCAACAAATAAGGCGGGGCTTATTGTGCCTACAGATATGCGAAAATGAAAGAAAAGAACTTGGCACTGTGCGCAAAACAGCGTGTTATATTCGTATTTGTGCCAAACTCTATCGTATGAAACCGTTCTAGCCTAGCAGAATGCCCTAGTTCCTGAGATCGGCGATTCCATGCTCGCATAGCGCTCTATGGTACTTAAACTGCGGCGTAGACTGTGAATGGAAGACACAAAGTGTCGAGCCTCGGCATCATGGCCGCATCACGTCTAGCTCTAGTACTATAGCCCGCGTACAGTTGAGTTGCTGCAGGCCTGCGGCAACTGTACGCGGGCTAAAGTACTAGAGCTAACCAGTAACTATCCACTTGGTCTCAGTGTCACGATAGCCAGCTTAAAGCCATACTATGCGCATCTACACGTTAATTTCTCCAGTACTGGACTAGCAAATACTTCGTGTCATGCATAATCACACTACCTTATTACAAAATAAACTCTAGTTCCTTCCATTTCACTGCGCGTTGTCTTATAAAAGGCATTTGAAAATACCTCCAATGTTGTTCAAATTATCCTATGTTGTTGACACTTTCGCGTTGCCCTGCTAAGCAACCGCACAGCGGTGCTGCGGTATAGCGGTACAGGTGTAGCAAATATAAAAACATGTGACGTCACATAACCGCTTTGAGGCTAAATTGTTTGGCAAACAAGTCGGCGTTGGCGCCAGAATGTCAGTTTTCTCACCTCTTTCTTGTGGGTTTTAAGCAAACGCGCAGTGAAATGGGAGGAACTAGAGTTTATTTTGTCATAAGATAGTGTGATTATGCTTGACACAAAGTATTTGCTAGGTAGTACTGGAGAAATTAGCGTTCGGATGCGCATAGTGTGGCTTTAAATAATGCAACCACAAAACATCGCATCAGCTTTAGTGCCTGAGCAGCGAGCGCTCCAATTGGTCGGTTGACGACGCGTTACTTTGGGAGGAGCTGCGAGCGCTTCGATTGGTTGGTCGACGACGCGTCACCTTGGGAGGTATGCAGGCCCTAGCTGCGAGTTGGCATGTCATCGTGTTTCACATGCGTATAAACAGAGGAATTGCTCCGACCTGTGATTGGAGGATAAAAATAGAATTCGTGACGTCACGTTTTCATTTTGCATATTCCGCCGCATACGCTATTATGTTATGACCGGTAGGAAAGTGTACTAACTGTCATATGGCGCGAACGATCTGAGTAACATTTCTATAAGTAACTGTATAAATTCTAGCTATTATAGACACATGTGTTAAGACACAAGAGTTTTTGCTGCCTGTTATTTAAAAGCAGCAGCAGGAGTTTTGCCGTTTGTTTATGTGATGATGTGCACCACTGTGGCGAGTGCTGGGTGAACTTTGACCCAACGTCGGTCGCTGTCGCTGCAGTGTGTTTGCGCCAGTCGCCACGACTTTTGTCGTTATGGTCGGTCGCTGTCGCTGCAGTGTGTCTTGGCCTTTAGCCTTAATCTCTGTGAATTTTGAGTCTATTGAAGCGCAATTAGTCTAATTAATTAGCAAATATGCACGAGCGGTATCGCTCATAGACTAGTAGTAATATATGCGGATTTCATTCTCACTACACATGGCAGAGCCTATGTGGAACAAATGCATCAAATGAGCTATTTACCACTATCTACTTCAACCAGCCCATCTGTCTCTTGCTTGCTAAGCAGAATGTTTTTTTTTATTCTTGAAGACTTGAAGTAACCTTGGTTCAAGGATATAAGAGCTGTCTCCAATTCATTTTCACAATGTGTGACATGTGCAAATGTGGACAGCTCTTATATCTTTGGGTCGTAACTTGTATTCCTAGCAGGGGCTTAGAGCTGCTTATTATGGAGATGGCAAGCGTAGAGTGTAAAAAAATTTTTGAGACAGTTGGCGAGTTGAAAATATTTTTTTAGGTATAGGGTTAGGGTTAGAGTACAATAACATTAAAATTTTATTCAGTTAATAGATTATAGATCTTATATGAGGATTTTTTTATAAAACAGTGCCTACATAAACGATAGAAACATGGAGATTTAATTTTCACAATTTTCAGAACTCTGCTAATTTGGGCATTTTATGAATTTTGTAATTTTGACATTTTGCTAGGGGTCATAGTTTGGGCGCTGGTATTTGGTATGAAAATTGGCTTGGATTAGGCCCTGCCTGGTGACTGGTGTGTGACTGTATGATTTTTTTTATCTACCTAGAAACCTCTAATGCTTCATGGGCATGAGCGCTCAGTCACACAAATAAAGTACAATCGAGAGGGAGATCTGCTTTTCTCATGCTCAAAAGACACGGAACCGAACGTTTGGTGGTCTCTGAATGGGGAGCGTCTTGGAACGTTTAAGGGTCATACTGGAGCCTGTTGGTGCATTGATGTTAAGTGTATCCTTTTTGTCTGCAGCAATTCTGTTATGAAGTCTGTATGATTTTCAGCAGTAAATTGGTTGAATGCATTTATAATGTGGTACATGTATGTGTAATTTTGGTAAAACATGCATTATAGAGTATAGTAGCCGGTACAAGAAAAGCATGTTGCTTATAGAATATTCTGCAATACTGAAAGGTATATATATAAGTTATGTATAATATATAGATATTATATATATATATATAGATAATATAAGTTTATGTAGAAAAGATATGCTTGTTCTTTGACGACAAAAAAATATCAGGGGACACCTCAAGTGTTATTACAGGATCTGCAGATAACACAGTTCGGGTCTGGGACTGTAAAACAGGTTTGCCTCTATTTTCCCATATTATGCAAGTGTTGTATTATGATGGAAGTATATATGTCTATACAATATATTAAATGTGTCTTAGCCGTATGTTAGGCAGTTTATGCTGATACAATATGTTCTGATTACTTTGAAAAGTGTGTTCAACATCTGTTATGCAGGGTGCGAAATTAACGGGAGTCCGGAGTCAAATACTCCCTGATTTACTGTCGGACTCCCTGATTTGACATATGCAGGAGTCTGTGCGACTCCCTGAAAATACTGCCATACTGACTAGTTCGTTCCGGAGCACGGCCTCGCGGAATTTCTTCCTTTTCAGCTAATGTCCAAAGAAAATTTGGCAGACGTGCAACTGCATGAATCTTAAAAATAAGCACATGCGTTATTGTTAATATCTTGAATTTTGAACCTCAGACTGCGGACTCCCTCATTTTGCTGCGGACTCCCTCATTTTGCTGCGGACACCCTCATTTTGCTGCGGACTCCCTCTTTTGCCTGCGGACTCCCTCATTTTGCTGCGGACTCCCTCTTTTTGAGGGTAGGGAGTCCGTTGGACTCCCTTGTTCAAAAGTTAATTTCTACCCCTGGTTATGTAATAGTATCCTTGCTATATTCTATACTAGCCCCTACTGATTCAATGTTTAATGTCTCTAGGTGCATGCTTGCATAAAGTAGATGTGAACACTGCTGTTAGGAGCTGTGGGTTTTCCTACAGTGGTAACCTTATCATGTACTCTACTGACAAGACAATGGGAAAGGAGTGCACAATCAACCTCTATGACCTGAGAGATGCAGCCCAGATGAGTAAGCACAAATAAGTTCAAAATTAACCTACTGACGTGACATCATTTTACAATTATATATAAGTACATAAATACAGTTTCCTACATAAAAATTGGTGCCCTCCATCCTATTTGTAGTCCCTGCAAACATTGGCCGATACTACTATTGTTGCCCTACGTGGTTTGCCCCTATGCCCTCCCCATAAATTCAATCTTGTGTATAAAGTGTTGTTAAAATGTAAGTAGCATTAATTAGTCTCTTTTGGAGGAAATATTTGGCTTGGTGCCTCCCCAAATTGCTGTGGTGCCCTGAAACTACCAGTTAAACCAATTGGTAACAATTTCTTTAGTGCTAAAAATATAAATTCAACCCCTGTAATTATAACTTCCTTTCAAGGGAAGCATAAAAATCATCCTCTATAGAGGTGTTTCCTAACATAAATGTGGACGTATTGTTTTTGCATAAATTTCACGTTTGTTGATCTATGTAAATGGTGCATCTTTCAGAAAACAATGAGCCATTGTTGACGATGCTTGTAAGTGGTTCGAAGGTTACCAGTGCTATTTGGGCATCCATGGATGAGACGATAGTGAGTGGGCATGAGAATGGAGATGTTTGCAAATGGGATATAAAGGTAATTATGAATTGCAAACCTATAACAGGAAAAATCCTCGTTCAAAGGCGATGTGGGTTATGCGTAATGTTTGCTATTCAAACTGATGGGTATATTATGCTTTAAACTTTGTGATCTAGTTTTTTAACGAGTACCTAATAAGCAGTGTTATCAGTTCATTGACAGACATACTTTCCCATTTTAAAGCTGTGGTTGATAGTGAAAGCGTCTCTCGTGTCATTTCATTAAACAAGAGGCGGAGGTGTAATGAACAGGTCTTTAATTTCTTTTTTTTAAGGTGCATCATATAAAACTTGACTTCTCATGGGTTTCTGTTGCCTCACTAAAATAGCTTTCAGTGTGTCTGATATATTTCAATCTGTTTATAGACCGGTTCAATAGTGAAGACTGTTAGGGAGCACAGCAAAAACGTCGTGGACCTTCAGATGAACGAAGACCAGTCAATGTTCATCACTGCTTCCAAAGACAACCATGCGAAGGTAAATTAAAAGACTCAGCCTAACTTTACCTAACAGGACACCTATCTCTCCAAATATAATAAAATATGGGGGAAAAATTAGGTATAGTAATTTCTGTTTAGTTTATAAAATAAGGGAGGTAGTTTTTCCAGGAATATTCTTCCATTAATATTTCGCTAACAATCTTGATAGGTTTTTGTTTGGTATGATTTATCACTTACTGATGCATGTTTCAGCTATTTGACTTAGCAACGCTAGACCTGCTGAAGTCGTACAAGACAGAGCGGCCTGTTAACTCTGCCTCTATATCTCCCATTAAACCACACGTAAGTACAACGTTGTTAAACGTCATGAATGCCAGATTTTTCCCTATTCATATTTCAGCAACATGGTGTAATGTATTTCCTTTGTCTAACATTTTATAAAGGTTTGAGATGTGATTTGCCGGTTAGTCTGGTTGTCATTGATCGTCAAATTTTATTGATGCAATATTATGAGATAAGCCCTTTTTTATAATTGTATATCTTGTCAAATAATACTGCAGTCCAAATACTAATGAAACCATCACCTTCAACTTCAAGTCTTTTGTTCCAAAAACAATGATGGATTGCTGAGATATGGATGCCAATAGCAACAGTATTGCATTTTTACGAAAATGAAAAATCTGATTCGCCTAGTGGGTGCCGACTAGTTTTATATATGCTTATATATAACTGCTTATTTATAACTGCTTATATAGCATAGAATTTTGCTTCTGTGATTTTCACATAGGTTGTTCTGGGCGGAGGTCAAGAAGCTATGGATGTTACTACCACTTCAACACGACATGGAAAGTTCGATGCCAGGTTATATCACATGGTCTTCGAAGAGGAGTTTGCTCGTGTTAAAGGACATTTTGGTCCAATCAACAGTCTGGCATTTAATCCTGATGGGAAGAGGTAACCTTGGTTTAACATACAAAAAGCTGCATAGATTTGCTTATAATACTAGCATATATACCATTAAATTTATTTCCTTCAAGGTACCTTCAAGGTTTTCATTTGTGTGTAATATGTTTTCATGATAGTCGGATTATTTTCACATTTTCCTATTATTGTATTTTACATCCACATCAGTAATTTCTGTTACGTAGAATTTCAGTGATACAAATTAGCAATAATTCTGTAATGTACGATGTACATATTTACTAATTCTTGTCTATTCATCTTTGCAGCTATAGCAGCGGTGGAGAGGATGGATATATTAGAGTCAACACCTTTGACCCACACTACTTTGAATTTGAATTCGAGTTCTAGAAAATTTTATTTGGAAATATAAGGCATACCTGTAAAAATCAAGATCTGTTGCTGCAGTAAATCTTTACAGTTTATCCTGAATGGATAGATTTCAGCTCATACTATACATATTTTCAACCTGTGTAGCAGGCCTCTGTATGCACAAAATATCTTATGTGCAAACAGAGGCCTGTAATACAAGTTGACATTTTTCAGTTGTTGCAGACTGTCTTTGTTAGCCTGTAATTTCTGTATGAGATTGTAGGTTTTAAGACTGTTGTACAGTTTTCTTGCAATAGCTACAATACTGCAATAGCTACAAGAACTGTTGAAGTATACAGAGTTGGTTGAGCAAATGTCTCCAAGTTTATGTACCCAGGGCTGTAGTGGCCTCCCAAAATGTGCTACTGCAGAAAAATGTAGGATCACCAAGTCATAATAGCATAAGTAGAGGTTACGGTGTGTGCCGCAGTCGCGAAGCCCATGCGGGGGGTCTGGGGGCCCTCCCCAAGAATATTTTTGAAATTTAAAGCCTGGAAATGGCATTTCCTGCATTTTCAGGCTATGTTGAAAGCAACCAATTCTGATTATCTTAAAAGGTCAATTTGTAAATTTCAAAAAGGAATGCAGCTAAAGCTGATGTTTTGACTAAAGTATCTAAAATAAATATTATGAGTAGGAACTATGACTGCACACGCATGTGTCGTTTCATCTCCTTGGTATATCTAGCTCCTTGGTTCCCAGCACAATTTTTTGGTCAAAATGGTGCCACGTACGGCAGTGCCGTGCTGCCGTGGCGGCCGCTACGGCCTTGGTACCTGTTTGGTTTTGTAGGGCATGTCATAGTGATTAATGAATGTTAAGTCTCTTTACTAGTAACATAAATTGTCCTGCTCTTGTATATGCTATTGCATGCATGGCTGAAACATGGTGAATCGATGTAAGATTTTTAATTCTGCAGTATAAAATAAACATTTTTGAGATTCCAAGTGAGTGTGTTGCATTGTAATATTTCAGAGGGAAGTAGAGATTGACAGCATATATAGTAGTGTACAAACCGTATACTAGTTGAACCACGTTTTATTGTCATTTTTATACTCGCTCAATATCCAGGGAAGCTGTATTGTATTTCTAAGATACAATAAAAGTACATAGAAATTCTGATTATCTTAAAAGGTCAATTTGTAAATTTCAAAAAGGAATGCAGCTAAAGCTGATGTTTTGACTAAAGTATCTAAAATAAATATTATGAGTAGGAACTATGACTGCACACGCATGTGTCGTTTCATCTCCTTGGTATATCTAGCTCCTTGGTTCCCAGCACAATTTTTTGGTCAAAATGGTGCCACGTACGGCAGTGCCGTGCTGCCGTGGCGGCCGCTACGGCCTTGGTACCTGTTTGGTTTTGTAGGGCATGTCATAGTGATTAATGAATGTTAAGTCTCTTTACTAGTAACATAAATTGTCCTGCTCTTGTATATGCTATTGCATGCATGGCTGAAACATGGTGAATCGATGTAAGATTTTTAATTCTGCAGTATAAAATAAACATTTTTGAGATTCCAAGTGAGTGTGTTGCATTGTAATATTTCAGAGGGAAGTAGAGATTGACAGCATATATAGTAGTGTACAAACCGTATACTAGTTGAACCACGTTTTATTGTCATTTTTATACTCGCTCAATATCCAGGGAAGCTGTATTGTATTTCTAAGATACAATAAAAGTACATAGTTACAAACAATACAATACAATAGAAGTTCTCTATTGCGGTGTTGATATGTAGAAGGTAAACAAATGGTGAGGAGAGATTTCGTTTTTTTTTAAATGTGTTATCATAAAGGCATGATAGTAGGACATTGATTTAATGATATTGACGGTCGTATCATAGATATACAGGGGCGTGTACAGGTGGGGGGGGGTCCAGGGGGTCCGGACCCCCCCACCTGCTCGCGCAGAAAACGCATCCGAGGGGGTCTAATTTCAAAATTTTTGAATAACCCCGCTTCGCGTGCTCGCAAGTATGGGTTACGGTTAGACCCCCCCCCCCTGGTCTAAATCCTGTACACGCCCCTGATATATAACAACAAGAGCTAATAATACCACAACAAGAGCTAATAAAGAGGTACTATTAGCTCTTGATAACAACACGTGGTTGTATATAATTATAGCTATGGTCGCACATGACTTTTATAAACTAACGAGCAAAACCTCACTATCCCGTCGTTGGGTGGCGCTAGTATCTCGCTTGTTATACTTATTTACGAAACGCAAGGTGGCGCAACGTGGTTAATAATAAACCAAACGGTAACCGACTTCAGCAGCAAACAGCATTGTTATCACGTAAGACTTCTTAATTTTACACTGATTACATGTAGGCTAACGGATTACTTTTAAATGTTTACACTTAATGTAAATGGTTAGCTTAGACAGTTACCAGCACAGGCACTTGGAACGTCTCAATAAAAAAAAATAATGGTAAATAAACACGAAATGTACAGTAGTAGTACTACTGCTACTACTACTAGTACTACTCTCTACTGCCTCTAGTACTATAGCCCGCGTTCAATTAACTGCCGTAGACCGTGCTAGCGCTGCGCAACGAAAAATGGCGGTTTGCAATCGCGTGCAACCTGCCCACCCCTCCACTTGGAAATACATTGTGCCCGCTCACTAGCGAAAAATTGCGGTTACAAGTTGGTAAACAATCTTTGTCGACTAGTAATATAGCAAGTACAAGTACTACAACATTTAGCTCTAGTACTATAGCCTGCGGATCGCTGCCGCAGGGCTATAGCACATTCTGCCATAGATGTAATCTAAGCAAATGGTCCAACTGATGTGACCAAAAATTTATCCCCAAAACGTAAAATGATCGGGCTTTTTAACACATTTATCAACATGGACATCTCACCTATCTTTTTGAACACTTCCACAACTTTACACCAGGTATTTATGCTGTTATTCCTCAAAGTCTTAGCACTGAAGAGTCACGCGTGCACACATAAGCATAGATACAATAATGTAACCCAAACCCAAGAGGATAGGGTTACAAAGTCTCCCTATCCTTTTCTGCGGAGGAATGCCCGAGTGAATCACTCGGGCCGGTTTGCTGGTGCGTTTTCAGATACTAGAACTTCCAAACTGGGTTTATTCTCAACACGAACCTTTCTCCGCTATTCGGGAACTAACTATGTATTGCAATACTCTGTATTAAACTAATATAACCTGTTACAAAAATTCGAAGTGACGAGCGGCGAATATACTGAGCGCCATTTCTGTTGACCTGTGACGTACTTCGGTTTGAAGAGCGGATTCACCGACCAATCGGAGGGCGCTGAGTTTGCCGATCGCTATGCGCATTGGGAAATGCGTACGTCACAGGTCAACAGAAATGGCGCTCAGTATATTCGCCGCTCGTCACTTCGAATTTTTGTAACAGGTTATATTAGTTTAATACAGAGTATTGCGATACATAGTAAGTTCCCGAATAGCGGAGAAAGGTTCGTGTTGAGAATAAACCCAGTTTGGAAGTTCTAGTATCTGAAAAAGCACCAGCAAACCGGCCCGAGTGATTCACTCGGGCATTCCTCCGCAGAAAAGGATAGGGAGACTTTGTAACCCTATCCTCTTGGGTTTGGGTTACATTATTGTATCTAACATAAGCAGAGCAACCGCATTTGAAAACAAAACACCAGTAGTGCTAAGACTTTGAGGAATAACAGCATAAATACCTGGTGTAAAGTTGTGAAAGTGTTCAAAAAGATAGGTGAGATGTCCATGTTGATAGATAAGTGTTAAAAAGCCCGATCATTTTACGTTTTGGGGATAAATTTTTGGTCACATCAGTTGGACCATTTGCTTAGATTACATCTATGGCAGAATGTGCTATAGCCCTGCGGCAGCGATCCGCGGGCTATAGTACTAGAGCTATACAACATTTAACTTTTAAGCATTGCCATTAGTTTGCGGTTTAATTTGAGTGTTTGTAGTAACTTAACCCTTTCCCTTCCACCATCGCCGAATTGCGACAGGATACGCCCCACTGTAAAACATTAAAAAAAATACGAAAATACGGCTAGGAATTGCCTTTAGGCCGACCTAAAAATTACCTTTGGTTCGGGTCACCCGCCCGACTTCACATTTCGGAGTAACAAGAAAAAATAAAATTCAAAGATACCGCCTGCCGCTCATACATATTCAAATATCCAACTCTTGTCATTTTATTTACCTAAGGAGAGTTCCAAAATATTTATAAACAGAACTTCGTTGGCGAGAAGTGAAACAGTTCCTACCTACGTTTCCTAGAATCCTAAAACGTGAAACAGTCGTATAGAGCCTGGGCCGGCTACTTCATAAACAGAGCCTGAAGATCGTATGGTGCGGCGGCCGGCTTTGATGTACGCGATCGATCGCGTACTATATAGTATACGCATGCTATCGTGCTATACGCGGCCGCAGAGCCGTTTACACTTCGGTTACTCGCTCGTTCAAAGGGACGATTAATCGAGCTCCGTTTTTGGAGCGATTCCTAACACTACTATCCAGTACACGACACGAATACCAGTACACGACACCAGTACACAACTGGTGTTCACATTTTTAAAACAATGTCATGATTTGCAGCAATGGTACATGCAACTGCAAGTCATTTGCATCTCGTGGCTCCTGCATTTCAAGCTGTATATATTTAACTTGTGAAAAAAAAATTATATTCCTGCCTACCCATGTTTTTACAGGAAAAAAAGTAAAAAAATAAAAAATGTTATACCTACCTACCTACCCTAATTTTCACAATCCATGTGACCTGAACCAAAGGTATTTTTTTGTTTGGCCTTATATATCCCCGCTAGATGGCGTATGTGTAGCACATCAATTCTACACCAAAATAATCGTATGTTGTTATTCAAAGTTTTGGAGTAAATTTCGACGGAAAATCACCGATTTTTTTGCCAGAATGGCCAAAAGACTGTTCAATGTTGAAGAAACAATAGACCAATTATTCGCTGACAGCGATTCTGAGGGCGAATTCTTCGGATAGTGAAAATGATGCAGACGAGCCTGTATTGCATGACGTCAGACGATGTACATAATGTTTACTTTAACCCCCTATCCCCCAAAGGGGGGCGTGGCATGCCCAGAGGGGCACATTGCAGACCTGGGAGAGGGCAGAATGCAGCCAGAAGAGGCAGGGGTCGTGGTAGAGGACGGCAAAATAGAGCAGCTGCTGGGAATGCCCCCAACTATGATTGGGTTCAAATCTTTCAATTGGATCATTTAGAAAATTATAATGCATGGATCCCCGCTTTTGGCCAAGATCAGGGGTACATTGGTGATCAGGACTTGACTCGACATTTACATAAACTGCCCAATGGGAGCGAACGCGAGAATTTCGTCAGGCTTTGTGTGATTTCGCGTGACACAGCTCGGTTACAAACACAGACTGTATGTTTTTATAACAAGTGAACACTGTTCTTCAAATAGTAACAAAGATGGAGTAGAATGATTAAATATTTCTGTTGTATTCGTGTGAAATCTAGCGAGCGTCGAGCGAATTTTGGCAGCATATGCATGCTTTCCTACCTGCTATATATTTAGGTGTCAGTGTGCAGCGGCAGCCATGGCGGCAGCCAGCGTTTGTTACAGATGAGCATTTGGACGGCATTTACAGGAAATTCTCGGCAATAATAGGTGAAGGAGAGTAGAGAAACATTAAGACTTTGGTAGTAAATAGATTTCATATATATTTAGCATATTTTATTGAAACGCTCCAAGTGCCTGTGCTCTTCTCGCTCTACTTGATTGCTTTTCCAATGAACGTAGTGAATGAAATGAGCATTTCAACAGCATTTACTTGGAATTATTAGTTGGTAGAGAATGCATAAGCATTGAAACTTTAGTAGGAAATACATTTTGTGTTTATTTGCCATCATTTTATTCTTGAAATGTTCCAAGTGCCTGTGACCCACAGTACTTGGAAACAGAAGTTAATATTTGCTATCTGCTATACTAAGCTATAGCCTGTGATGCAATTAAATGGAAGAATATGCAAGCAGCAATACTAAGGGTTCTAATTGTAAAAGATTAGTTAATAAAAGTTTGGCTCGAATTTCCAATGTTAGGGAATTAATCTGGATGAATTGGTTACTCAGTAACCAGCAAATCCATTCCAAAACTAACAAATGCGTAAAGATTTGAAGAAACGAATACAAGTTAGATGTACCTGTTGTGTGTAGGAGATGGATTTGTGCATGTAACAACTAGTTCATACTATATCACATTTATGCATGTCCTATATTTTTAGAATGTCTGATAATGAAGACTTTGAAGAGCAGATTCGACTAGAACAGCTGGGCCCCGAGAGTGGTGCAGGTACGTGCACAAGATGCAAGTGACAGCATGGATAACTTTAGCACAGCACATGCTACATATGTTGGCTAACAACACTGTTTTATTTGTTTATCAGACATTGTCATAAACACGTTGAATTTGCTTGAGTAAACAGTTAGTTTTCTCTCGATTTGTGAATGGTGACAAGTAAAATTTTAAGCCCCATGCAACATCTATTCCAGATCCAGGAAAAGCCAAGAGTTACACTGACAAGGATGGGACGGAATATGAGTGGGACCCAAAGCGTAAGGCATACTTTCCTAAGGTATCTCCTGGCTACTGCTCTACCTTTCCTCTTTTTAATCTATATTTATAAGAGTAATGATAGATAAAATATGATGCCATTCTCTCTCACTTTAACTGTGGGGGTTCATAGGTGGTGTGTAGGAACAAATACTAACTACAATTGGATGACAGGAGTATTATGTAGTGCAAAACGTAACAGGACCTGTTTTTGAAGATGACAGGATGTATATAATTACTTGCAGATTGACACGGACTTCATAGCACAGTATCAGGCCAACTATGGAGTAGAAACCGATTTTTCTCAGCTTCCGGCAGCAACAAAAGAGCACCAAGAGTATTGGGCCCAATATCGTCAGTGGCAATCTCAGTTCTATGGTGAGAACAAGAAAGATGCTGCGGATAAGGGCAAAGGAAAAGAAGGAAAGGGAAAGAAGAAGGATGGAAAGAATTCAAAAGACAGTGGCGAGAAAGAATTAGGATTGTTAGAAAAAGGTTGGTGTTAGCAGCAGGTTAGGCTAGGTGTAAAATGGAGGCTGAATGCAGGTGTTTTACCTGGGATTCAGTGGTAGTATATTTTAGTTATCTAGTGCATTCATTCTCATATTTCTAGTACATTTTATCTATTCATGTTCAACCTACGCAACCAGGTATCTTAATAAGGGAAATTCCCAAGCAATAACACAATTTGAGGAATTTCTGGTAGCAGGCAAAATTCCAAAAGAACGACAACGTCTTATGGTTGGTCATGCGTAAATTTCCATACTAACGACCATCTCAAACAATGGCAAAGTAGTTTCCCACCCTGTCGCTATATTTTAGTAGTTTGCGAATTTTAGTGGTACTGTTTGAAATAGCATCTGTGGTACCTGGTGTAGTTTGCTGTATATCTTCACCATTTATCAATATTATTATGGTCCTTTACTGTAGAAATGGCTTCAAAACTTACTGGAACACCTAATTATGGCCATTCTAAACAGAAGCAAATTACTTCATCTGACTTGGCACTGGACTCATAGGTGCCAGGTATAGGGAGTTGGACCCATGCCACAGAAATTCGCTCCCCACTTTTTTAATGATACGTTTATAGAAGTAAAGTCTCAGTCTCAGTCTCTACTCGCAATACCCCATTAATTTCCCCACTCTTATATCTAGCGGAAGAGGATTATGCAAAGGAGTCATCTGAGTACAGCCATGAGGATTTCTTTTACTGGTATTGCACATGCTCAGAGGAAGAGAGAAATGAATGGTACAGTAGCCTGACAGAGCAGCAGAAGAGGGATCACTGGGACTACTACAACCAACATTATGAACAGTACGCTGCAGGGCTGACAAATGAGGGGCAAGGCGAGAATAAAGAAAAGGGTGGAGATGAGCAAACGGAGGACAGCAGTAAAAAGGAGAGTGGTAGTACGAAGCAAGGCGCCAAGAAAAAACAGGAATCAAGTATGGAATTTTTTTTTATATGAATAATTTGAGTATTTAATAATTTGAGCTTTTGGTTTATGTTATAGTTATTCATGATGATAACTTTCTGATTTAAGGTCTACATATGGAGTAACATACCCTGGTAACCATCGGCTATACTGTGTATCAATATTTTGAACAGTTTTGTGTTATACTCCAGTATAGTAAAACAGTTAAGAGTACCTCACAGTGTATATTATAATGATTCTAAAAGATAAAAGTATACTACCTCATTCGTATATCTGCATTATTCTGCTAGCAAAGTTTACATTTTTATTGTCATTATTTATTTCCCTGATTTAAATCTAATATGCCAGATCCAGATCCAGTTGTGGTTCTCTTTGTGTGCTGTCAGTGCTATCATATTTCAGCCTGGTTTGATGTGTCGGAGAACAAGAACACTAATGTCTATGTCAGCAACCTGCCATTGTCCACTACGGAAGATAACTTCATTCAGCTCATGTCCAAGTATGGGCTCATTCTGCACGACCCTCAGACAGGCAAACCCAAGGTCAAGCTGTACAAGGATGAAGAGGGGCACTTTAAAGGAGATGCCCTTTGCTGTTACTTTAAGGTGAGGCAATTATTTGCACTGCATTGAATACAAAAACAAAATTTGACCACAGTGTACACATAGTATGACTCAATGCTCTCTATTATTTGTTCTGTTCTGCAGTAAAATTGCATGTAGCTATGATGGTCATCAACTATGGATCCATCTATTGACATAAATTTTCATTTATTAGTTTTCAGTAAAGGATAAGCTATGAAATGATTACCAGATGCATGCCTATCGACTGCCTATTAGCTGTCGCATGACGTAGTGCCTCATTTCCATTTATTGCTGGTAACTAACCTTTGTAATTCACTATTTTCAGATTGAGTCAGTGCAGTTGGCTGAACAGCTGTTAGATGACAGTGAATACAAGGGTAAGAAACTCAAGGTAGAGCAGGCAAGGTTTCAGCTGAAAGGATCCTACAACCCAGCACTGAAGCGGAAACGCAGGAAGCAAGACAAGCAAAAGATGGAAAAGCTTAAAGAAAAGTACGACCTGTGTATTTTCAACAACTGTGTCACTGCACTGGTTGATAGAGGTATAGAAGTGGTACATATGTTGATAGAAAGAAAATTCCTAAATGTTATTTATCATTTTCAGGCTGTTGGACTGGAGGCCGGACAAAATGCGTGGCGAGCGATCAAAGCACGAGAAAGTCATAGTCGTCAAAAACATGTTTGATAACAAAGACTTTGAGGTTAGTGAAGCTTTAGCATGTGTTTAGTTTATCTCAGCAGACTACTGATTTTCGTAGCCGAAATTAGTTTTGCTTAAATCTTTTGTGATTCTCAATAGTTACAGTTATGTCATCTTTAACGTGTTGATCTATGTATTTTGTTATATGTGTTTACAGAAAGATGCAACTCTGATATTAGGATTGAAGCAAGATTTGAGAGATGAGTGTTCCAAGTATGGTGAAGTGAAGAAAGTTGAAATATACGATGTAAGTTGTCGGCCCTGATATTTTCGTGCATGCATAAACATAAATCAGTGTATTGCAGTACTGTTTGCTTGATTAAATATGCACTTGCTCTTAGTATATATATAATAAGTTTAACAATCAGAAAAGCGGAGACTTTTCTGAAGACCCAATCAAAATAGATTTTCTGACAATGAACGTTCGTTGCAGCGCCATCCTGAAGGGATTGCCACAGTAATGTTCAAGGAAGTCGAAGATGCAGATCAGGCATTGCTAACGCTACACGGTCGATGGTTTGCGAAACGGAAGATAACAGCTGCAACGTGGGATGGCAAGGAGAAGTTTAAGGTGGAGGAAACGGAAGAAGAAAAGGCAAAGAGGCTAAAGGGATGGGACAGCTTCCTCGAAATTGATGCAAATTCTGCGTCGGTGGCAAATTCGGAAACGCAGAAAGAAGCGGATGAGCTGAGTTCAGCTGGGGGTGGCTCTAAGAAAGCTGATCCTGAAAAGAGCAAGCTTTCATCGACTGATGACCACACGGAAGTTGAATCAAAACCTCCGGATACAGTTTCTCCACCAGACGCCTCTGAAAACGAAAAAACCATACCAGAACATTTGCCGGCGGATCAAGCACAAAGTGCAGACCTACAAGAAAAGGTGGCGCCACCTGATGAAACAAAACAGATTGTAGATTCTGCGATGGAAACCACTTAATCGTTTATTTATTATTAACGCAGTTACACCAGTGACTGATATGTTGTAGATATAGTACAATATATTTTCTTCATTGGGATAGTAAATAATCGTAACGTGATACATCTTGGTAAACTTGTAAATTCAAACAAGTATTTTTACAACTTTATTATTTGTTTGGTTTTTGTTTTTATGATAGTGATTCGGCAGCATGTTTCCGGGCAGACGTCGGTTAGCCATTGTTATCAACATAAAATATAGCAGTAAAAACACCAGTCTATTGAAAACACTGTTTTATAACATTGCCATGTAAATATTCTATAAGTACTAAATTCTTAACTCACAATTTAAAACATTTGAGAACATTAGGTCATTGGGTGACAATTGTGTAAACCTGTAATGTAATCTTGCAAAAAAACATGAAAACTCATTAATATGCATCCTAAGCAGTCTTTCTGCATCTTTTTCCTATTACCTCAATGACTCGTGTAGTGGCACGAATGAGTAAAATACCAACATGATTCAATCGAATCGTTATCCAAACTACAGTAAGTTGATAGTCATGTAATGCGCGAATGCGTGCGTCTGGAAAATGCTTGTGTGCGGCGTGCGCGTTCAATACCAACCATGTTTGATTTGTCAAAATAATACAAGGTAGTGCTAGAATATGCAAGGCAGTGGTTCGCACGGTATTTGTTACGTAACGGACTGTTTTGCAGTTGATTAGCGTCTAGCAACGCACGTGTGCACCCGGTTTATGAATCGTCCAGCAATTTCGTTTATATATGTATATATATTTTACGCGAACAACCTTTATCAATTTTCTATAATGTAAACATTTATACGAGCAATAGTCGGTGAGCAATGTTGAAATTATTTTATTCAGAAAAAGAAGTATTTATATATTCAGTGACGGTACGTGTAGATAAAACGTGCTGCACGCACGCACGCACGCACACAATGTTTCAGCGCGTTTCCCGATACAGCGTTGATAGATATCCTGAACCGAAATAATGGAGCTATGAGATATATGCGTCGGTGTCTACACTATCGCGTGGATGAAATATAAATATAATTCATATCGATAAATATAATTCATTCGAAAATTCACGTTCTACACGACAATGAGGCGCAGTATGTAGTGTCAGTCTCTGTATACAGATGATATTTTACGTTGTGCAGTAGCATCGTAGATATAATATAGATATGAGTAGCATAGATGTACGAACGTGTATTATCTTTTTTTGAAACGTAATAAAGGTTTATAAACATTAAACAACTACTATATGTGCAATGCGAACTCCTTAGCAACAAGCCCTGCTGGAAGGTTGACCAATAAATGCAGCTGCTGCGGGTTGCAGCCATAGACATCCTCTATATATACACATGCATCGTGGGATATCCATGGTCGCAGCAGGTGACCATTCGGTGCGTCATCACTGCGGCGTCGTTTCCTTTCGTCTGCGGGCGCGCGCAATCATGACTGACGTAACCACAACAGTGAACAGAAAGATGGCGGCCATGATGACAATGCCCGCGGTGAAGCTTCCGCGCGAGAGACAGAAGCCGAGCTCGCTGCCGTTCTGTCGTTGGCGGATGTCTGGAAAGGGAAAGCGGCCGTTATAATATGGCATCGAGATGCATTGAGTCGGCTTTCGCTATTATGTAAATTGATAGCAGGTCGTAAGCGAACGGCGACGAACGATTCGGGGATGCTTATGTAGAAAATCCGCACACTCGCACTAGGCAACGGGACGGGTGTTAACCATTTGCACGCACAGAGGGCGTAAGTGGGTAGACCACTGTTATGTATATCCTCACTTACATGACTGCCAAGGTAGGGAATCGGCATTGTTGTCTCCGGGAATGAAGACTGCAATGTTGCGGTAGAGTTGTTTGCTGTCTGCTATCGTTACGTTGTCCGTAGAAGCAGGTGTTCCTCTCTTCAAGCGCCTGTGACCCGCGGCTTCCTCTGAGTACTGATCGCCGGCGCCACACTGCGGCTGTAGGACGAAACACGTGACGAGGTTACATAACGTCTCTATAGCGAGCGCTATACTGCCTGCTCAAGGTTGGTCTCGTTTGCTCAACTTGGTTTCCATTGACGTTATTGGCATTTTGCAAAGCCCTTGTGTACACAAGGACTCGTGTTGAGTTTTCTATAATTTCTGATCCCTTAACCAGAGATTAAAGAGGTTAAAGAGAGAGTCCGTGAGAGTAAATGGCGATTAGCAATGACAGTATTGCTTAACGTCTATTTGCGAAATAACGTGGTGCATGACACCTAGAAAATATTTTCGAAAAAAATATTCACTTGGGCATGCGAAGCCCAGTAGAGAGACTAGAACGCGATGGGCATGAACCACGTACGCCATATGTAACGTCAGTAGGCCTACCATCACGGCAGGGTAGTAATTAAGCACCATCGTAGGTTATAGTGTCACGACTCACCATGTAGCACTCCGTCTGGCACAGCTGCACGTTGCAGGTGAAGTAGACGTTCTGTTTGTCCGGAAACTTGAAGGCGTGGAAGTGGGCGAACATGACGGTCTGTTCCTGACTGTGGCCGATCCTCACCTTCTGGAGTTGTTCGATGATCTTCGGTACGATCGCGCAGCCGCTATCGTCAATCAACAACACCTCGTACTTACCGTAGCCATCGTGAGCGACACAGCTACTGACAAAGATGTCGTAGTTGCCTGAAAACATCGTTATTACTATTAAATTGGTTATATTATTATTATTATTATTATTATTATTATTATTACAGATGTTATTCTTAGACGTAGTGTTTACTATTGCAAGAATTGAATCGTTTTAGTTTTATTGGTTCTTGTTTACATATTATGCAGTTTTGTGTATTTGAGTCAGCTGATTCATGGCCGATATTATTGTCCAATCGTTGCAGTAATACATTCTATGCGCACATTTTAACGCAATATTATCATAATCATACATGCACATAACTTCTGTCATCAACTCTTCCGCACGCATAATGAGTGTATCATAATTTGCTTACTGTTGTCATCGAGTAGTACCACTAGAGTTCCGTAATCTCCCACAACAAGGCCGTTGGAACTAGGTGCCATAATATCCTTTCCTTCCACAACTTTAATCCTAACATCGGGTACTCGTATCTGCTGTTCTGGTACCGGAGTAGCAGATAGAGTTCTGTTTTGAAATCCAAGAAGATGAGGTTAAATACAGGGGCACGTATATTTAGCGCGTAACTACTCTAGAAATACACTAGACTAACGTAAAATTTTAGCGCACAACAACACATTAAAGCTCTTCGTCAACCGCATTGTGCATTATGTAGTGTTGTCATAATATAATACGTGTTATATAGAAATATAAGTTGATTTTATAGCTATAATACTATATAGGCAACACGGACGGGAAAGTAAGTACGCATACACGCACGTGACACACGCAAACGCACACGTACACACACACGCGCGCACACGCACACGTACACACACACGCGCGCACACGCACACGTGCACACACACGCGCGTGCACACGCACACGTACACACACACGCGCGCACACGCACACGTACACACACGCGCGCGCGCACACGCATGCGCCACGCATCCATGCATGCACGCATGCGGCACGCAGACACACACGCGCACGCGCGCGCGCACACGCATGCGCCACGCATCCATGCATGCACGCATGCGGCACGCAGACACACACGCGCACGCGCGCGCGCGCGCGCACACACACACACACACGTGCACACAAGCGAAAATAGGTTATAGATTCCCGGAGCGACTCACGGTAAATTAATCCCCGCACTCATCTGCTTCGGTTCGGGAGCCTCGAACAAGCAGGAGACTTTATAAGCGCGGTCCCAAGCTTCCAGAATCGCTAGGTCTTTTGTCATCATTACCACAATGACATTTTGAAAGCGGGTAGATCCTTTCACTCCATAACCATCCTGATAATAATATGTATGAATAGATGACGATTCTAGCTACTAGCAGATATTACACGGCATCGTACTTTGTTCGAATAATCGTGAAATGATTTGTTTTTCAGGTTTGTGACTTCAAATAAGTTATTCGTATTGAAACCTTGTAGCAATATTTAATTAACGTGTTAATTTTATTTTGCGAAAGAGCGCGTGAAAAGTGTATCGTCAACTGATCTGATAAACCTGCCTCTTGTATTTCTTCCGTGCCGCATCCATCAATTGGAAAATGAAATTCCACTACATCATGACCAGATCCATAAACTTGGCACTTCTCAGCTTCAAAGAATCCCCTTGTGTAGACCCTGCCGTTGAAGTACTTGTTAAACTTGAGCGTCACCTGCATGTACCTGTTATTAGTGTCGCATTGAACCTGAATATCTGTTGGAAGAGAAAAAAGGATTAGAATGATAGACCTAGTGTGTGAATGAGTGAATTACGTGTAAGTATTACCATTGTTTTACTTTGCTAATTCTACCAGCAATCTTATACCAGCATCCACAACATCTACGCGCAATCATCACCCTCACAATTGCGACAGTGACTGCTCTCTTACCATTAACCTGGTTTTCGATTTTGTTTCCGTATTTATCGTTTTCGAATCTCGGAAACGGGTTGGCGCCGGACCGATACCCGCCATGTTGTTGCGGTTGTGTCTGGTAACCGTATTCAGTATCCTCTCGGGGCAGTTCGTCGTAGCTAGGCGGTTGCTGAGGCTGTTGCTCGTATTGTTGAGACTGTTGTGATCCGTAACCCGCCTGTTGCTGCGTTTCGTATCCGCCGGAAGGTTTCCGGTACGGATTGTACAACTCTCCCTGCGGCACGTAACTGCGACTCTTCTGTTTAGGTTCGTACGCGTACGGATCCACGTTGTACCCGTTCTCGCCGTACGTTTGCTGATCAACGCTGCCTGGTTCAGCACGGTAGCTGTACTGGGAAGGCGAGTCGTAATTAGCACGTGCCCCCGATGGCTGATACGGCTTCCTGTACGCGTCATGTGATTGCTGAGAGTAGGGTGCGCTGGGAGACTCTGTGGCGTATGGATCATAGTAGGCTGGCTTTCTTGATGGATATTGGTCACCAAAAGCTCGTCCGCGTGGATGCGCCTGCCATGCCCCCTGCTGGCCGTAATCGGAACTGGCATACACCGCTGTGAGACCAGCGAGTATGCACACCAGTTTCATCATTATCACCTGAAATAGGGCATATACATTGTATTCGCTACCAAACGAATGTCGAACATTGATACGTAATGGTCGCCGGCTAGCAAGAACTGCCACCTGGCATGACTGAATACAAGTTACGTGCCAAACTGTCCTTATTTTTGAATTTACGTATTGAGAACAGTGAATCACTCTTTGATGCACACATCCCGCTGGTGTAGCGGCATGATCGAGTTACTTAATTTACTACAATAATTCGCTATCCCTCCTCGTAATTCTTTCTTCTATGTCCCCATATTTGATTGAATGCGCGTGCATCGCCGTGCTACGGTTCTACGTTTCATATCCATCTTTGAAATGAAAGAGCAATTTTCCACAGATCCTACCTCTGGGCTTGCGAGCCCCAGTTATCGTAGAAAAAAAACCGCAGGTAAACTGTTGACACAATTGGGTACTTCGCGGCGCGTAAATAGAACAGCTTACCAGGGCGCTGTGTACTCTCACGGGTGGGCCAAAACAAATCCCTGTTTAGCTTTCAGATATTTTCACGAGTTCGACGTTTCTTAGAGAAAATGTAGTTATGTTTTCCACTTGCCTATTATCATATATCTATGTATGCGAGGCACATAGACAAGGATAAGAGACTGGCTGTGATCTAGTATTACGCTTCTCACGATAGCATCTATTAACCGAGAAATGTATCATGTATATCATGTATCTAATTATAGAATATAATGGAATTATAATTAGGTCCAATTAGAAGACACCGCTTCGTTCATTTGCACCAAGCGGATACGAACTTCTGCATAAATTGATGTAAATTATATCTAATTTAGAAACGTGCTGCGCAACAATTTCGATAGCTAATAACGGCCAGTTCTAAGTAGTAATGTCGCTAACCCAGCTCTCTGGTTTCGAGGCTTTGAAGAGGCGACGGGCGGTAAATACGGCAATCTTGCGAACAAAATACGCACAGACGTGTGATCATTATCGTAGAAGGATTATGTCGATGACTAAAGCCTAACCGGATCATAATTCGCCGTGACATTTTGCTCTGAGGAACGTTTGCCTTGTCCGTGTAATTACCTTATCCCGGGTCACGTGGGTAATCATCAGCTCAAACGCGGTGTTCGCCAAACAGGGCATACTAACTATACAGATGCGTGTGTGACGACACTATCTGTCGAGCGTATTGACTTCATCGACAAGGGGTCATTTCGGAGAATGCGCAGTTAGAGAATTGATTACCTTGTTCGCCACGACGACAGGGATGAGTCTTGTGAAGAGTGAAGGCAAATCGGGTTAAGGTTTACCGTACTTAGCGTTCCGCTGCACCGTTATTGAACGCGAGTGAATGTGTTCACCGTAGATACGCGCCCTAGCATGTGCGTCCCGAATGCGAACTATAATGATAATTATAGATAGCATCCATCAAAAAAAAGTGTGCATAGAGCTTCCATTCATGTCGCTGATGGTTTTATAAAAAAATATAAATACGATTGTTCGAATCGCACGAAGGTTACACTGGTATAATGCATAATAACGGCGGTTCACTTGTGCTAAAGGCCGCCGCACACCAGCCGATTTTACAAACGATGAAGCGATGAAGCGATGAAGCGATGAAGCGATGAAGCGATGAAGCGATGTAGTGTGTGCGGCGGCCTTTAAAATCGGCTCATCGGGCTCATCGGTCTCATGCGCTCATCGGCCTCATCGGTTCAAAAATCAAAACATTGTTTGATTTGGAACGATCACCGAATAAAAATAAAATCGTCTACAAACTGAACGCGCACACCGGTACAATCCGCTTCATCGCTTCATCGTTGTTAACATCGGCTGCGGTGTGGCGGCGCCTTAAGGAGTGGCGAACGTAATGCGCATTTTTCGTGGCGGTTCATGGTAGCGGTGGCAAGACCGCTGCCAGTCCATCACCCGTTACGTTACATCGAAGCGTGGGTTGGCGTTTGTATTGGTGGTTGCTGTCATCGTACTTGAGTGAATATGCAGCGATATATAATAGACATAGGCGGACTGTAACCAGCTATATTGCGTACGTCGTTGAAAGGTTGTGTTCTCGCGAGGAAAAACGCAGGCATTACATCTGAGTTGCCGCTTTCCGCGTTACTATTTCCCTGGTGGTAGACACTGAGACGGATTCTCACTTACGCAGGAATGAAAGGGAGCGAATGGCATTAGCATTATATACATGTATATGTATATGTATATGTATATGTATATGTATATGTATATGTATATGTATATGTTATATATGTATATGTATATGTGTATAGTATATGTATATGTATATGTATATGCTATTGTATATGTATACTGTATATGTAATATTATATGTATATGTCATGTTATGATATATAAGTATATGTATATATGATAGTATGTATATGTATTGTATATTGTATATGTATATTGTATATGTATACTGTATATGTAGATGTATATGTATATGTATAGTGTTATGTATATGTATAATGTATAGTGTATATGTATATATATATATATATATATATATATATATATATATATATATATATATATATAATGACTTGTGAGTGCAAAAGATCATTGCTTGCTAGGGTGCGACGTCAAGAGGGAGGAGATTAGCCACCTATATTTATCAGAAATCAAATTACCAATCATTCATAATTTATAACATAATACGTAATAGCGTTTCTGCTGGATTGAATACAGTAATTTGAACGATCGATACTAATAAAAAAAATAATAACGGGTTTGTATACATTGATCGACGACTATGCAGTAGCAAACTTTTCTCACGTACCTTGTCGATAGACGCGTGCTGTTCTCTCCGAATTGTACAAACACACGGGAGCAGTCAATCGTACCTGTGCGGTGATCACCAAATAACGCTCCATATTTTATGCACGGGCTCTTATATACGCGATGAAGGTGGATGTAGTGACCTATTTGAAGAGGGGCCACGGTGCCCCGGTGGACAGTACGCGCGCACGGGTTATGGAGGCGTCAGCTGTGGCCGTAAACAGGGTCAAGTGAAGAGCCGACGTGTATAGTGCCCGAGAGTGGCCATCGTTGGCTAATTATGACTCGATAGAAGAACACGGCCTTTGTCAGACACGTCCGCGTGTGCAAACACACTACACCGCGTGTAGTAGTCCATCAATGTGGTCTCAGAACGGGCGACCGACTTGCTTGCCAACGGGCTTGTTAATATTCTTAGCTGCCATGCATGTTTCGTCGATGGGGGCACCTAATATTCGGGACACTCGGACCGTGTCCTTTCACCCGGTGGGTCTATCGTGGGTAACAACCATCTGAAATAATAGACGGCAAGCAGAATTACTAATGCATTGGCTGATACACTTGCGTTTTTCTAAAGCCTCTGCAAATATAATAAGAAAAGCGCTTCGCTGTCAATAATTGTCTGTTCAACAAGCCAGCTATACTGTAGCTGTAATTACCATACGCGGCCATACTCGTATATAGTTGGATGTAAAGAACATTCGCAAAAAACATGGAAATTTCACAGTGATAAACAGCGCCCTATCTAGACATACACTTATTGGAGAAAGAAAGCTTAAAAACAACGTATCGATACAAAAATCATAGTTCAATTCTATGCACGAACCAGGGCATTATTTATAGAACTAGGAAGTGACACGGGCAGAGATTCTGGTCTATATAATATCGTATTGCGACAAGCAACGCACACACTCGATATTAGGGCACTAGTTGGCACCTGCCAGTAGTGAATGAAGAATGAAAACACTTTATACTAAATAGCTCATTTATGTCATTACATAAGGGGACTTGCGCGTGTGGCAGCGTTAAATTTGTCGGTCATTCATCTGTCTGGTTCAACTTACGTAAACATCTAAGTATCCAGTGTTTCCAGGGTTTCCAGTCTGTGCTGTCCCGTGCGAGGTACATATCATTGCATCAGCGAGTCACAGTGATGTCATTGTGAGATTGCTAACTAAAGGATGGCGTCACTTCGTATTTCCGATAGATCTGCATGCAAGTTATACTGGCACGCGTACACCGGAAACTCCTTACTTGAGCATGCTATAAATAAATCTACTGAATTTGAATAGCATATATCTACAACAAAACTACAAATAACTTGAGTTATTTTAAGTACAGGTTGTCTATCCGGCGGATGCAAGTTATACGCAAGCAATACGATCAATACAATGCAAACTCGTTCCATGTATACGTGGGGACACAGACGCATTCTCGTGCACTGATTTTCAATCAATCACAGAAAAATACATGTATTGTTGGAAGAATTGTTGCCCGAATATTGTTGCCCGAATTACATTTGTTTACACAATATGTTTATTTAATGTACGGTAAAATACAGTCACATACCCAATAATATATGTGTAAAATCGTATGTAATGCGTATGATTAGAATAAGTAATCTTATGTTTCGCTAATAATTCGGCTAATTCTAAACGTAGGAAAATAATTTCAGTATTAATGAATACATATTGAATAGTAGCACGTATGTATATGTACAAGTACGCGCGTGCGTGCGTGGATATTTGATGTTTCTGCTTAGCTACATAATCATAGTTCACATTTTCTAAATCATCCAAGTTTAACAAATTTTTGTAGGATTTTTATGTGAGCCTGTTCGTGCTTTTTTCAATTGTGACAAAAGTGGTATAAAACGTAGCGCCTGTGCTCTGACGAACTTGCTCATTACCGTACTAACCTACTGTTCTCTTTCTCTCTCTCTCTCTCTCTCTCTCTCTCTCTCTCTCTCTCTCTCTCTCTCTCTC